ACTTTCAAGAGGCAATGCCATCAGAGGTGGTATTCAGCAGGTTCTGACCAGTTCTGGAGAACCAGTAGCGGAAATGTTGAGTAGTTCAGAGAAACGGCAAATCCCACCTCTGACTGGCCCTGCCAACCCCATCTATTCTCTGCCTCCCGAATTCCAGCTGATCGGCTGGGTCTTCTTTGGTTGCCCTGCACAGGAGAATGGAGCTGGAAAGCAGGCTAGTTGGGTGGGGAGGGAATGGGGATTATACAGTATCCTTCCCCTGCCACACCCATCAAGCCACACCTACCAAGCCACACCACGCTCACCAAGCCACGCCCAGAGAAACAGTAGTAAAAAAATTTGAATCCCACCACTGACTGCCATATAATGCTACACAACATTAGCTGAACTATTCTATTATGGGAAACTCTGTAGGAAAACATCTGCAAAAAATATTATTCCCTTGGGAATGAATTATTCATATGCAGAAGCAGTTCAAAAATGCTTGAGTTGAGAGATCCAACCTCTCTCCTTTTTATTATTATTTTTAAAAAGCTTCCCTTTAAAAAAAGAACACACCTCTATCTTTCATAGCTTTTAATAACCTTGCTTTCAACGTGGGTTTTACATTTATCACCAAGCACCAGAGACCTGGCTGCCTAGCAGTTTAAGATGTTCAAAGGCATAAATGAAAGATGTAAAATCCAGGCAAAGCAAATGTAAATTCGGAATAAACTTTCCAAGCTGCGAACCTTCAAAAGGTACTTCAGGATGTTTCTAGGTTGGACTTTCTGGAAGGCAAGAGTGCTTGAAGAAAAAATGGACATATCATGATTGCCCAACTCCAAAGCAAAGTTCAAACTTCATAGATGATTTGTCAGCCTGCCAGAAGCTGCTTAGCAAAAAAATACACACACCTTTGTGTGACCCATGGTTATTTTTTGGCAACAATTCAGATGTAGTTTAGCTTTGGGAATAGCCTTCACCTTCTCAATTAAAAACAACTTTGGTACTCCCTGGTGGAATTCCACTGAAATATTAACCCTATCCAACATGGGTTAGGGCTTCAGAGCCAGCCAGGTGTTCTCACCTGCTGGAGAGAGTAGTAAAAAAGAAAGAAAGGTGAGCCATCTGGACTTCAGCCCTATTCAGGTTAACTCTGACCAGAAAATGCCTGTTTCCAATTCCAACTGTAAAAGTGCTCGGTGTAAATAATCCAAAAGTAGAAAGAGAAGATCAAAATATCTAATTTTGCCCTGTCTTTCTGGATTGTAGAAACTATCAAGCATTGGCACATGATGGTTTCGCCTTTTAATGCCAACATACCTGGAGCAATGAATCAAGCACGAATTGCAAAAATGATCCTTCAACCAGCCTCCAAACAGGTTGATCTCTGCAAACCAAAACATTTATCCTTTCCAGAATATGGAAGGATGTTACTTTAGAGGAAGGAGATGGGGAATTAGTGTATCTCTCGCAATATTTCTTTTTAAGGCATCCATAAAATCTCTGCCAAAGCAACAACAATAATCAACACCATCCTAGATCCTCTTTGATCTCTTTTCTTCTTGGGTTGCCCATTAGGCCTAGTGTCTATTTGCAAAATATTTATGAAATATTGAATCCAGGAAATGTGGAACTTTCTGCTTACTTTCCCAATAGAATACTATTCAAACTTTGGCTGTTAAGATAACTCCAAATCCATAGAAACTGTTAAGTTAAATATCTATGAAGATTCTCAGTCGTCCAGATCAAAAAAGAGGCAACAGGACTTTCGTGTTTTTTTCTGTTGAAGACTTTTCACTTCTCATCCAAAAAGCTTCTGCAGTTCTGACTGGTTGGCAGGGAATGGAAGGATTTATATTCCTTGCAGACAGCTGGTCATTTGCATTTTTTAGAGTTGAGTCGTTGAGGCTACTTGGAGGTTTGTCTGTGTCATCAGGATAGTGCAAATGTGTGTGGAGCCTTCTTGAAACTGTTGAAAGGACTGTGTGGTAGATTGGAGGAAGATGATGTTGTATCCCTCCCCTTCTGTTGAGAGAGGGCTGTTCAATTTTGACATAGATGGCTATCGGTTCCAAGAAAGCTCCACATTCATTTGCACCAGTCAGGTGACCCAGATGCCACAGACAAACCTCCAAGGGGCCTCAACGACTCAACTCTAAAAAAATGCAAATGACCAGCTGTCTGCAAGGAATATAAATCCTCCCATTCCCCATCCTTCTTGGATGAAAAGTGGAACAACTTCAAAGAAAAACCAGCAAGTCCAGCTGCCTCTTGAAAAACCAGCTTTGGGACATCTAAGTTAAATAGTAACACAGGCATTCCCTGCATTAACAGATTAATAGAGTTGGAAGGGACCTTGTAGGTCATTTAGTCCAACCCCACCCAAGTAGGAGACCCTACACCATTTCTGACAAATGGCAGTCCAATCCCTTCTTGAAAGCCTCCAGTGATAAAGCTCCCACAGTGTCTCACAACAATTAAGAATGTCTAATTTACAACTTGTACCTATGAATGGGTTGCCCATTAGTAAAAATGGCAGACATGTTCTCCTTCCTTCAAGCCAACGAACCGCCAAGCAAATGCCACATTTTCATGAACCACTGAAACTGGAGACATCTTCTAATATACCGGCAGTTTTCAGAAGTCCATTAAAAAAATTCACAGCTTCAATAGTTTTGTTTTGACTTTTTTGGCCCAAGAAAACAGAAACTCGTCCACCATTTTTTGTAACACGCAGTCCCTCGGTAAGTAGGTGCTCTGATTGGCATACAGGTACGTTCTCGACTTACAGCCATTCGTTTAGTGACTGAAGTTTCAATGGCACTGAAAAAAAGTGACTTGTGATTGTTTTTCACACTTGACTGTTGCGGCTTCCTCAAGGTCACGGGATCAAAATTTTTGCTGCTTGCCATGTATTTATTACGCGGGACTTTTGCAACCGTCATAAATGCATGCCAAGCCAAAAAAAAAAAAAATTATTGGGAATTTTGCCTGTAGGTTACAATAAAGAGGTGACGTATTTGATTATTAATGTATTAACAGCAGCTAGAATTGTATTTGCACAAAATTGGAAAAATGAGAAAATTCCAACGGAAGAGGAAATAATTGAGAAAATAATGGAATGTGCAGAAATGAGTAGATTAACCATGACAATTAAAGAACAGGAAGAAAACAATTACTATAACATTTGGAATTTCTTTTATGAATGGCTAGATAGAAGAGTAAGAAATTGAAATATGTAATAACAAAATAATATAGTATAATTGATAATTGACTTGAGTTAGACAGAGTAAGAGAAAGATATAAAATATAATTTTGAAAGACAATAATAATGTTAATGACAATACGACAATTGATAAATGTGATATAGAATACTGATTAGAATGGCTATAAATATAAATAAGTAAGATATGTATGATAATGTTACTATGTGCACAAGATATATGTACCCAATTGACACACTGTTGAACAGAAAGAAGGTTTTATTTGTTTGTTTTTGTTTTTGTCATAAAAAAAAACTTTTTCAAAAAATAAATAAAAATAAATGCATGCCAAGCGGCAACATTTTGATCCCATGACCTTGAAGAGGCCGCAACGGGTCGTTAAGGGTGAAAAAAAGATCACAAAAGTCATGTGACCACCATTTGCAACCTTTCCAGCTGGCTTCCGACAAGCAAAATCAATGGAGGGTTGGGGGAAAAGCCAGATTCGTTTAAAGACTGCGTCGTTCACTTAACAACAACAGCTACAGATGTTAACAGCTGTGGCAGACAAAAGTCATAAAATGGGACAACGCTCACTCAGTAACAGAAATGTTAGGCTCAACTCCGGTCCTACATCAAGTACTATCCATATAAATGCAAGTTAAAGACAGAGTTAGCAATGGAACTCAATTTTAACGCAGGACTGCCATAAAAAAAACCGACACTGAAATAGGTAACTGGTTTCCCTGTTCTCAAACAGACTTTTCTGGTATTTCCAGCCCCACAAGATCAGAAGGGTTTTGTTTTAATGCTGTCCAGACATGACCTGGCTGCATAAGTTACCAGACCTAGTTCGCTCCCTATTCGCAGCTCAGGATGCTCCCTTATCCACCCCACTCAGTTCAGACGAACAGCAAGCGAGCAAGTTGTTCTTTGCCAGC